TCTCTTGCTGTGTGGAGGAGGTTGGGATAGTGGGAAATGGGATTCCTTCCCCTCCTCCAATGCTGCGTTGATGGTGATGGCTCTGCCCTTTGCTGCTTAGCTTGTGCCTGATTGGTGGGATTGTGGCCAGACCAGACAGGTGCTGAGTGGGGGACCCATGTCATTTCAGATGCCAGTGACGTTTGAGGAGGTGGCCGTGTACTTCTCTGAAGATGAATGGGCTCTTTTAGATGAAAAGCAGAAGGAACTCTACAGAGATGTCATGCAGGAGAATTATGAGACTCTCCTCTCGTTGGGTGAGCAGTTGCTATAGTCCCCGTAGTGTAGACATGGCCTAAATCTTTTATAAACTGTATGAATTATGTCTTTCCCCTTCAGCAAAGAAAACCTTGGAATGTTCTTTGTAGTTAAGTGATTGACGAATACTTAACATGTTGTGATGCATGTACCTCTTTCCAATGAGCAGGATTTCCGATTGCTAAACCAGATGTGCTATCCCAGATGAAGCAAGGGGAAGAGATGTGGCTCCCAGATCTCCAGGGCTCTGCGGAAAGGGAAATCCCAAGAGGCACTAAGACAGGTGAGGAATGAGTGACACCAATTGAGAAACTATCTGGGGCTTGGAAAAGCTGGGATCCCAGCAAACCCACTGAGTCCTCTCCCTGTTCTGTCCCATCTCATCTGACTCACTATTATGTCCTGTCCTCATGGCAGGTGTCACTCCTGGCTCCCAATCGTCCTGCCTGATCCCTGGCAGAAGCCTTTTCCTCCCTCAGGCTTTTTCTTAGGGCTCAGATGAGACTTTGAGGCAGAACTCGCCCCTCCTCTGCCACTTGGTGGAATATACTTCCTGCCTATCAGGTTCTGTTATCAATGATAAATCCCTTTACTGCCCCCTCTGTCCTCAGCACATGCAGTGAATCCCATCTGGATTCTCTCTCCCAACAGGTACCGGGACAGCAAGTGAAAACAAGAAGGAGAGTCCCCAGCAGGAAGGGGCTGTGGGAGTGAAGATGCACAGGATGTTCTCAGGAAAACCGCAGGGCCCTGATGGGGCAGATGTCAGCAAGAGTCAGGACAGAATGGGGCGGCAGAGAGGAGACTCTCCAGGCAGGAGTAAATCTACTCACAGCAAAAGAGGCTTGAGGAAATCCACAGACACCAGCGCCCACCCGGTAACCCATATTGGGTTGACACCAAATACCATCAATGAACTGGGGGAAAGAGTCAGTAACAGCTCTCTTCTTATTCAACATTATCGGCAAACTAGTGCAGAAAAGAGTGCCGTCAGGTGTAGTGAGTGTGGCAAAAGCTTCACTCGACAAGAATACCTTCAGATACATCTGAAAATTCACAGAAGGGAGAGACCCTATAAATGTAACAAATGCAAGAAAAGCTTCAGACACAAGACAAGCCTTGTTCTTCACCGTTACACAGTCCACAAGTCAGAGAGACCCCATAAGTGTCCAGACTGCGGCCAGCTCTTTATTCTGAGAGAGAGATTTATTCAGCATCAGAGAATCCACAACGAAGAGGGATCTAGAGGGTTTAACGATGGGATTGTGAGTGAGAACAGGGACAAGAATCCCCAGAAGAAAGGGTCTGCGAGAGCAAAGCCAGACATGATGTTGTCGGGGAAACCCCAGTGCCCTGAGTGGGGAGATGCCAGTGAGAGTAGGGGCAAGGTGAGACAGCAGCACGGAGACCCTCCAGACTCGAGACAAAGTAAATCCACTTGCAGCAAAACAGGCTTAAGGAAATCCAAAGACACCAGCACACAGCATACAGACTGCATGGGGAAGAGACCAAATACAGACACTGAACTTGGGGAAATTTTCAATGACTGCTCTCTCCTGATTAAGCATCATCAGACTGGTGCAGAAAAGAGTGCTTACAAGTGTAGTGAGTGTAGGAAAAGCTTCACTCAAGAAAAATACCTTCAGATACATCTGAGAACTCACAAAGGAGAGAGACCTTATAAATGTAAAGAATGCGGGAAAAGCTTCAGTCGGAGTTCAGTGCTCAAAGATCACACCATGAGTCACAGAATGGAACAACCTTATAAATGTACTGAGTGTGGGAAAAGATTCAGAGCGAAGACAATCCTTATATATCATCGTTACATAGTCCACAGGGTGGAGAGACCCTATAAGTGTCCATACTGTGGCCAGCAATTTGTCCTAAGAGAGAGACTTGTTCAACATCAGAGAATCCACAAAGAAGAGGAACCTAGAGGATTTAATGATGGGATCATGAGTGAAGATGAAGCTAAGAATCTCCAGCGGGAAGGGCTTGCAGGAGCAGAACCACAGAGGACATCATCGGGGAGACCCCGGGGTCCTGAGCAGGGAGGAGGCTGTGGAAGTCAGGGCATGGCACGAAGGCAGCAGAGACGCCCTGCAGGCAAAAGAGGCAGTATATCTAATCAACGCGAGAGAGATTCCAAGAAATTGAAAAGCACCATCGCCCACCAGGGCACCAACACCGGAGCACAAACAAGCACAAATGGTGACAATGAGAAAAGCTTCAGTAGCAACTCAGCTCTTTCTGTGCATCAGAAAACCCACCTGGAAGAGAAACGTTACAGCTGTGCTGAATGTGGGAAAAGCTACCACCAGCATGCTCACCTTCGAAGGCATCAGAAAAACCATACAGGAGAGAGACCCTATGTATGTGCGGACTGTGGAAAGAGCTTTGTGTACAGGTCAATACTCAGCAGACATGAAAGGACCCACAAAGAGGAGAAAAACTATAGCTGCACTGACTGTGGGAAAAACTTCAGCGAGTACTCATACCTTACTATGCATCAGAGAATCCACAGGGAAGAGAGACCCTATCAGTGTCCCGACTGCGACAAAAGCTTCAGGCTGCGAGGACACTTTACCAGTCACTGTAGAACCCACACAGGGGATAAACCTTACAAATGCACCGAATGCGGGCAAGGCTTTGGGCGGAAATCAACCCTGACTAAACACATGAGGATCCACACCGGAGAGCGGCCCTATAAATGTGCGCAGTGTGATAAAAGCTTTCGTCAGAAGTTCGCCCTTTCCCAGCATCAGTTAATACACCAGGGAGAGAGGCCTCACAAATGTACTGAATGTGGGAAAATCTTTCTTCAGAAGTCCCACCTTACCACGCATCAGTCTGTGCATCGGGGAGATAGACCTCACAAATGTACTGAATGTGGGAAAAGCTTCAATGACCGATCAAATCTTCTTAAACACTTGGCAAATGTCCACTTGAAAAAGAAACCCCATACAGCAAATGTAACTTCAGGTTAAATAGATCTACAATTGTAATGATAGAAAATAATGGGCTGGTACTTTTTTGATTCTGGTGAGACACTTCTCCACTCATACTTATTCTAAAATACAAGGTTTAAGGAGGATGGGTTGGTAGTATCACCTTATTTATGATCATGGGAGTGAGATGTGGGAGGGGGACAAAGCTGATGAAGAGAGGAACTGATCTGTCAATGGGTTTTGGGGATGGTTAGTGGGAATTTCAAGGGAGTGGAGTTGAATTTTGCAAGTTGAGCAGCGGCATGCCATCTATGGATGCAATGCATGGATTGCATTCCCATGTGAGCCCTGAATATGACTTCCTGACTGGCTGTGCCAGTGGGACGATTCCATCCGGCCCCTGAACACACTACAGAACAAAATGGCATCCTCCGCACATTGCGAAGACACAGGTATTTAACATGGCACTCTACAAACGGATTAAAACCTGGCGAACTGAGATGTCTCAATCTGTAACTGTAAACAGGGAATCCTCATTGAGCAGGTGTGTTTCTAGTGGGGTCCTGCAGAGATCGGTTCTTGATCCTTTGCTTTGTAACATTTTTATCAATGACCTGGAAAAAAACAGAAAATGATCACTGATAAAATTTGCAGATGACACATAAATTGGGGGAGTGGTAAATAATGAAGAGGACAGGTCACGGATTCCCAGTGAACTGGATCACTTTGCAAGCTGGGCAAAAGAAAACAGTCTGCATTTTCATGTGGCTAAACGTAAATATATACATGTATGAATGAAGAATGTAGGCTATACTTAAAGGATGGGGGATTCTATCCTGGGAACGTGGGACTCTGAAAAAAAAATTTGGGGTGTGGTGGATAATCAGCTGAATATGAGCTCCCGGTGCAATGCTATCTCCAATCCTGAGATGGATAAATGGGAATCTCGAGTAGGAGTAGAGAGGTTATTTTACCTCTGTATTTGATACTGAGGCAACTGTATTTTTTTTTTTTTTTAAACATGTCTCAGGGTTTATCTACTCCAGAAGTTTTACTGGTATAATTTTGCAAGTACGGTTATAATGGCATAACTTCCTGTGAATAAGTGTGTCAACCTGGAGAGTTACAGAGGCATAATTACACTGGTATATTTTATGCCAGTTAAATTCCACGTGTAGGCAAGCTCTTAGCGAGAGTAGTTTTCAAGGTAACAGGTGAACAGGAGTAAGTCAGCCTTGCCCCACCCTCACAACAGCTTTCTACCATGCACTAACTGGCTATAGCACTATTGGCTAAAGATACAGCTCACTTTCAAAGGCATATGGTTAATAATGGGATGCCAACGAGTGCATCTTCACCTGGATCTTCCATCCCCAGCAGTTCAGTCTATTCCAAGTGGGTAGGCACACCGTGATTTTTCTCCTGTAAGGCAAGTACCCCAACTGGGCCAGTGTAACTGATAATGCAAGTGCTACTCCCTCCCTGAGCTGTGCATCCCACAGTCCATTGAAGGTGTCTGGGATAAGTACTCATAATCCTTGGTGCAGGGACCTGCTACTTATCCTGTATGGAATAGCTGCCTGAAAGGTTTCACAATTTACTCCTAAAAAACACAGTTGGGCAGAGTGCTGGGTATGAACTGGAAAACAGAAAATGCCCCGTTAAACTTACAGCCAGTTAAGCCTGAGTGTGATTTGTTAGCTTATGAGACAGTCCCCTAAGGCTTTGCAGCTATGCAAAATGTATAAAGGATATGTGTGACCGATTGCTATGCTTGCTGGTGAAATAAGGAATGGAGAGGTACTGAGACTGATCTGTTTGCAGATGTTTTAACCATTAATTGCAAGTCCTAAATGTTTTGCTATGTAAGGGAGATGTGAGTGGTATGAACAAAACAAGGAAGTAACTAGGTTGAAAACAACTGGGGTATATGTGACTGTATAAACAAATTGGAACAGACACAGGTGTTGACACTTAGGTCAGAAAAGATTTTACGGCTTGCCTTGGGACAAGAGTCTCATGATGCTTTGCAGTTAAAGCTATCTAGCAAGGAATGGAATTTTACAATGCAGTAACTGATGACATATTTTATATAAGATATATTTTTGCAATGTACTAACCGCAACATATTTGCAAGATATGTAACGAATAAAAATGTCCAAAAAAAGCCATAAACCATGATTAACTACTTGGTGTTGAAACACTTGGAAAATTACAAGGAAGAGGGAACTGAGGAAAGAGCCTTAAGGGCAGGTCTACACGACGGGGCTAAGTCGACCTAAGTTACGCAACTCCAGCTACGTGAATAACGTAGTTGGAGTTGACGTACCTTCAGTGAACTTATTGTGTCTACACCGCGCTGGGTTAACGGGAGAAACTCTCCCATCGACTTACCTTATGCTGCTTGTTCCAGTGGAGTACCAGAGTCGACCAGAGAGCAATCGGTGGTCAATTTAGCGGGTCTTCACTAGACCCACTAAATTGACCCCCGGAGGATCGATCACGCACATTGATCCCCCGGTAAGTGGAGACAAGCTCTAAGATATGGGAAAGTATGCACTAGGAGGAGGCAATAAATAAGGGTTGGACTGTTGAACTAAGAGGAGTTACCTGGGTATAACTACCACAAGAAATCATAAGAAAGTAAGACCATTGGCAGACAGGATCCAGACTGTCTGCAGCTACAGCGAAGGCCTTCCACAGGTGTGGGTAATTGTATGTGCTGTCTTGACTGTTTAATAAATTCATTCAAAGCTGACTTGTTAACCAAATCTAAATTTAAGAGAAGGTTATTCATTAAACATATAATCACAATTAAAATTCCTATCCATTATTAGCTATTCATTTATTAATTATTGACAAATTATTGGTTGATTAGCAACACAAGAAATATGTAAACTACAGTCACTGGAAGACTGTTCTCTACACTGGTAATGTCTGACCTTTCTGTATTATGCTGTTTTATTGCTAATCAATAAAGTGATTGAGCCGAGGTATCTGAGGTCTCATTAA